ATTAGGTTCGGCTCATGTGAAGGCGGCTCGACGTTTGACCTGAGCCTATTTTTTTCACAGCCATCGGAATATAATAATCAAAATGAATGATATATGTCTTGGTCAACGTAAAAAAATAAATAAAATAGATAACCGATAAAGTTAAATTATTGGATGAATATGGTTTAAGAGTTTAGAAGCTTCAAAGGTAATGAAACAGATGTAAGGATTTCGGAATGAAACGCGTAAAACATGACGTTTTGTTGGCTTTATGACTGGTGATATAACCTTCATCAGAAATCCTTACATTCAATATATCAAAACGCGAWAGCCTGAAAGATACTGCAACAAATTGTATTCAACTGAAAGTTACAAAAGAGTTATGCAAAAAAAAAAAAAAGTTAAGTAGCAATTAGTTTCAGGTCACCCATCCTGGTACTAACTTCGCGCAACCGGACTTGACTCAGTGTCATCGATGCCCAAGCTTTTTTCCACTGGACCACAGTCCCAGGTGAATCTGCATAACAATAGCCGTGAATAACAATGATCAGATAGACTAGACTTTTTAAGATTATATTTTCAACCGATTCCGTGCGTGGCAGAGATGCAAGGGATTAGCCGATATGGTCTGGGGGCCGGCTGGTCTCTCCCCTGATGCTTCGGCTAGAACATTTTCTTGCGTAATTCGTRCACHCAAGGGCAGAAGGATTTAATCGCCGTCAGGTCCGAAGTCCATACGACGCCTCAGCTCTGCGGATGTCTCGGGGGTATGGCAAAATAGAGTCGAGTTTTTTTTTTAAATTGCCKTTGGTTGGTTTCTTTCTTTAGTTTTGTTTCCCTCACTATTTTCTTATTTTTCTATTTTGCAGAAGAATGTAAGCCAAGAGGCTGAATATATTTTTGGTTTTTCATACCAGTAAGACATATTAGAAGGAATTTTTTGTAATAATCAACAAAAAAAAGAAAGAAAGAAAAAAAAGAAAGGAAGGAAGRAAGAAAGAAAGAAAAGAGAAGAAAAAAGGGAAAACGAAGAAGAAGAAACAAACATTTGCAAACTAACTGGGCTGGCTTGGTTGCTAAATGCCGCAAAAGTCCTGGTAACTTAACGCGCAATGATTTCTGGGTAAAAGAAGTCAAGATGGCCGAAAAGACGGAAAAAATGGACGACTTACAAAAAAGACTGAAAAAATAACTTAAAATGGATAATACTCAAAGAGAAGTAGAGCCGAAGGAAGGAGAAATTAGTGATCTTGAAGATGGGGAGATTAAAGATGATGAAACCCCTGAAAATCTGGCAAAAATTCCGTTAATTAGCGAGCCTCCTCATCAAGTTTTGCAAGGCAGTGATTTCCCTCGTTTCGATAACACGAACACTGGAAGTTTCCAAGGTGGAAATGTTAATTATTTTAATGCAAGAAGAGCGAAACTACCCCGGAGAAGAGATTCTGGGCCTCCTCCTAGGTTTATTGAGGAGGAAARTCGGTTTAGGGAACAAGAAAGCCCTCGAATGAGAACTCGACCTTCTTTTCTTCATCACTCGAGTAATCTGAACGTTCCGCGACAGGCCAACTTACCATGGATAAAGAATGTGCCCAAGCGTATCCTTAAAAACTTTACAATYGATTATTGATACTTAGAAAAATAAGGTTTTATTTATAGACAAAGATAAGATGCTTTTTTTATCTCTTTTATACGATAGGCTAATGTAATTAATTTAGATGAAATTTAAGTTTACTTTTTATTGGGAGGGACACGTAAAATATCCGTTTGTTCTCTCCCGAGGAAAAATGGAATTTGCAAAGCGTGTGGAGGGTCATAGTAGGTGGCATTTCCTTTACAGCTCTGTCTTACGCTGTTGTGCAGTTCAAGACTGAAAATATCTATATGGAAAAGAGCGCTATATAAATATCATAGTCATCATCATCAAGACTGTGGTTTGCGGGTTCAATTGTCAGCTGAATTACATGTGAAACAAGATTGTTTGGTTCTCTCCCTTGCTATAGAGGTTGTGCACCATCACGTGACAGCAGCCATGTTGGATGGCAGGAACAATAAAATCAGAGAAGAGAATTGAATTCCTTAGAGTAAAGGGATCTTATTGTTCTTCCATCTAACCACAGGCAGTCCAAGCTTTATTATGGGTGCCAGCTAGTAATGGTGCAAAACCTCTGAGGGGTTTTTCTCCTAGGGAGGAGGGGGGGTACTCCCATCTATGGACTATATGGGGATGATCCGCTGAACAGGGTATGGTCTTTTGAGCTTCTTGTCATAAACAGGGTATGCAATTTCACTCAATTTCTAAGTTCTTCCTGAGTTTCCTGTCATATTCAGGGTTTCTACTTTCGTACTGACCAAAACTGGTTATTATGGTCGTCAAAAAAAAACAATAAGCGAGTTGACATGATAATTGAAACAGGAACTCAGTGCAATTAATTATATCTTTTGTCGTAAACAGGGTCTACAAATTTGATTTTTATTGTCATAAACAGAGTACCCCTTTCAGAATCCCGGCGGCACACCCCTAACCAAATCCTGGCGGAGTACCCCTCAGGGTTTTTCTCTGGTTTCTTCAGTTTTCCTGCCTCTGTAAGTGTGGCAATAGTGCATATAGAGCAAACTTCATGGAAGAACTCTTAACAGGGAGCGATGTTTATATAATATCACCACCACCCATATGTATTTTCTAGAACTAAACATATTGTTTACGAATCCTACATAGATACTTCAGACTAGAGTGCAAATAATATACCTGTGAAATAGATAGCTAGCTAATTACTAACTTTGTGCTATTGGTTGCCTAAGTCTAATTAGCTAAAGAAATAGGTGAGCCGTGACAGGTAAACTAGTGCACGTATGCTACTCAAGGGCACGCATTTTAAAATATTTTGAAACACACTTACAAAAACTGAAACAATATTTTATTGTACATGCTTTTCCTTCATGTAATTTTACATGTTCGCATTTCCGTGCCCTTGTCATGCCTCACTGAATTCCTATGTCTTGTCTAATTAAGCGCTAACTATCTCCTATTTCATCCCAACTATTTCACGGTWATATTATTTGCACTCTAGTTTACTTTTTAGTACTTTATGATATTCTTCTTAACCTAATTCCCAGTAGCACCAAACCAACCARCCCCATTTACTCCTCCAATACACAAGAGACCAAAACCCTTCCCACAACAACAGAGACCAAGATTGCCCTCCCCAGAAGCAGATAATATGGATGATTTTGACCTACTACTTGAGCGACATAAACTTATACAACTACAGCTTGATAAATTAGAGAGGGAAGAATCGGYAGCGATGCTCGAAAATGAAGATTTCATAGATGATAGTTTTGTGGACATTCCAGTAGACACTGATATCAATAATATAAAAGGTGATAAAGTGACAAAAAGTATAGAAAAAGGAGATTCTGGTAAAAATACTTTAAAAACAAATGATAACGAACAGGATGTGGACAAAAATTTGCCAAAGAATTTTGAGCCATTTAAGATTAAACCATTGCGACCACCCGTACCTTCACTTAAGGAACTAAGTAACAGAGAACAACAAAAAAATATAGATGAAGCAATGGATGGTTTAGGGTCTGTTCACATCGGCAATGAAACTAAAAATATTGATGCTAATCAAGATGGTCAGATTACCTCTCCAAAAAGCAACACTATGGAGAATTCTCAAACTATTGTCCAAGTTACTGCCAAGAAAGTGAAACGCCGAAGACGCCGCAAAAGACAAAAAGATATGCGGAAAGCTAATGCTCTTAATAAAGGGATTAATATCAATTACTCTGGTAGGGATTTTAACGTAGATGTGCATAGGACTGTAGAAGAAAATACTCTAGACTCTCGTTTGATGCAGTTGGCATCGTCRTCAACAATGAATACTGCAGAAATGGAGAAAAAGATGAGGTATGCATTATTAATACCATCTAGATTTTGTACTGTGACCCCCAAAAATTTCTCACTTRAACCAAGCAAAAGTTACTTGTTGTAAATAGGTTACCACATCAAAATGGTATGTTAATGAAGTCATGGTTCTGAATCTCCTTTGTTAGCATTGCTTTGTCCCACRAACTTTTTAGGCGTCACACAGTGCGATGTTGYGTGTGAMARCACATGCAGCATTGCACCATGATTTCCGCACCATGTGTCTGTYCRCACCCTGTGTCYRCACTGTGTGTCTGTCCRCCCTRAGTACTGTGTCCACAYCTTTACTTAACGCTACTCACATATCTGAATGACAGGACCAGTGCTGAACAGCAGAAGAAGAGAAGAGAGAGACTAAAACAATGGCAGCAGTCTCGCAAACAGGACCCCAAGTCTGATGCAAGGTCTGGTAAGGGGCGTGGAGATAATTTGGAGAAGTATGCATCACCAGGTGGAAGACCTATATCAGATGGTAAGGACTTTGAGACAGATGACTATCTGGAGGCTCCTATGGACGTCGAGAGTGATACACCAGGTGAATACCCAGTATTTATAATATTTTAGTAATGTATTTTTAACATGCATAAGAAGTATAATTATGTTATCTGCACACCTACCAACCTGCCATCCTAAACTTTTACCCAACAGAACCAACAACCCACAGACCTACCATCCTACCTTAACTTCTAAACAACCACCCTGTCATCTGCATACCTACGAACCTAACATAACTTCTACTCACCCACCCACCTACCTACCTACCTGCCTACGAACTACAGGACTCCCTACGTACTTATAGGACTACAGTACCTACCTACCTACCTAATTTTAATTCATGTTTATAGATGGTCCAGTTTTGCCTCTAATTGAAGAGACAGGTGACGATGTTCCTCCACCCCCTCCCCCTCCACCAGCAAGAGAACAAGGTACTCAAAAAACATTCATAAACCCCACTTTTTTCACTTTTCTATATGTTTTATTCACTTATTCAAGTTCACAGCTTTATAARATAACAGCTAGTCACCAGACAGTGTCTGGCCAGAATATAGTCAACTCTGGTTACAGTGAACACCCTCAGAATCGTCACTTGGTGTCATTAATAGAGAACGTCTGCAATAGCTAGAATTAATTACGGTCATTTCTTTGTCAGTATTTTTGTCGGGGAATTTTTTTCCTGTTCATAATAGCAATGTGTCCTTAATATTGGGTTGTCCCCAAGGCGAGAGTTGACTATAGTTCCCTTCAGAGTTCCCTGTACCATCTTGAAAGGAAGTCATGCCTTTGATCGAAGCTATGGACTATTGGAACTTGTCTGGTCAAATCTTTGCCTTGCCAGCCATTTTGACCAGTAACGTTTAGCCAAAAATGAGGTTTGACGACAGAGCTAAAGCTATTTTGGATGTGGATCATGACTGACTGGCTGTCATTTGAAGTCATGGATATTTAGATATCTTATTTAATTATTTTTTCCATTTCTAGAACTGATGGCTTTGATGCAGCAACAACAAATGGTATACAAACAAAATCAATTCCTTCATGAATTCTACCATTTCCTTATTTATTTGATGATTTATTAACTTATTTGATTCTCATTTATTTCTCAAAGGCTTACAATGCTTTTTCAGTCCAAAATATGCTAAACCAGGTAATTATTGGCAAAGCTTGTATCTTACAACATCCTTATGATATATCATGCAATTACCTTTACCTATAAAAGAAAGACAAACTGACACAAAACTCTATATATTTTACATCATCTCTGTTTTGTTTTGCCCCCTGGCAAGATGGCCGCTGGATTGCAAAGTAGTCCATTGATGTACAATATGTAGTTCCAGAAATTATCCATACCCACCCCACAGAGGAATTTGGAATTTCCGAAGAGTAGGGGTGTCAGAGAAAGAACAAAAATTACAGAGTTTGTATGGAAGAAAATTGGAATTTCTGGGGTTGGGGGGGGTGTCTTAAAAAAATTTTCTGTGAGGGGGGTATGGATAATTTTTGGAAATACACAATACAATAATAATCAATTGTACCCAGTATGTACTGTAATTAAATCTTATGTGTTTGTAGGTCCATGTTTCACCCAACATCCATGGCTTCTATCCTCCGGGACAGATCGTAAGTATACACTCATTTTAAAAAACATGTTGGTCTGAGGACTGAAATAGCCAATCTGAAACTAAATGGAATTTTTGGAGGTTTTGTGTTTTCTGGCTAAAATAAGAAAAATAAAACTTCTCACTTGAAGGCCATGCTTCATATTCCAATTTGAAAGAAAACTATGTTGTTTGTCTTTGAATGAATGTATTACAATTTATGGCATGATATTCAGATCTCAGACCAACAACGTTTTTAAAAATAGGTACAGTGTATATAAATATTTAGCTATTGCCGTCAAGTTTGTAATGGTGGTTTAAGATAAATTGTCAATTTTTGTGGAGAGAGGAAAACTTGAGGTAGAGCCAAGAGAAAAATCCTCAATCAACACCATATTGAAGAAATAGAAAACGYGTGCACGTGCTGTGTGCAGTCATAAAGCACGCGGGGGATGGCAGAACACGAGAGAAGTGTTAGGAGAAGCACGACATGTAGTGGAGTGCTTCTGGACACTTCTCAAGTGTTCTGCCAATCCCCAAGTGCTTTATAACAGCACACAGCACAGCAAGCAAGTTTTTTATTTCTTTTATGAAATACAAATTACAATAATCATTATTTTAGATAGGAATCACGCAACGGAATGTGCGTGAGCGTGCAATGTGCTCTCATAAAGCACACGCTCTAAGCCAATCAGAACGTGACATTCATAACAGTTATTTTATAAAACCATTAATCAACTCTCCTTATATTGTTGTTTCAGATCTATGGTGATTGGTCTGGTAATTTTGCTTCAGCATCTATGAATAGGGAGGCTATTGCTAAAGACATGGTACCACCTTCTTCAGGTATACTCTACATGTGTGTTCTTATATGATAATTGAATGTCAATGAGTGTGTTGCTAACCAACCACTTACTTACACCTTACTGACCAGTTACTGACACCTTACCAACCACTTAATGACACCTTACCAACCACTTACTGACACCTTACCAACACCTTAC